AGAATGAAACACCCTCCCTGTGCCTAGCTAACTTCCATATATCTACGACTGCAGCTCAGTCAAACTTTCTCGATGGACTCCCTCCACAACTGCCAAGCCTGGGCCAGATTCTTTTGTTATGTGCTCACAGAACCATGTTCCCTTTAGCATTCATTGAGCTTGCTGTTTAATTATTCCTATTTTGTTTTTGTTTAATTAGTCCTATCATGGTAGACAAATGTTCCTTAAGATCATAGGACATACAGGACTGTCTCTACATAAAAACTGTTTTATATCCATAATGCCTAGCACAGTACCTGGCGCACAGTATACGCTCAATAAATTTTTGTTGAATTAATGCAATTATCATTATATTCCTGATATTAGCAGGTATAATCCAGTTTAAGTTTGGGAACAGAAAGACAAAACAGACTACATCTAATAAATCCAGTCTCCTTTTTTATTTATTTACTTTTGAGACGGAGTTTTGCTTTTGTTGCCCAGGCTGCAGTGCAATGACATGATCTTAGCTCACTGAAACCTCTGCCTCCTGAGTTCAAGGGATTCTCTGGCCTCAGCCTCCCAAATAGCTGGGATTACAGGTGTCTGCCACCATGCCCAGCTAATTTTTTTTGTATTTTTAGTAGAGATGGGGTTTCACCATGTTGGCCAGGCTGGTCTCGAACTCCTGACCTCAGATGATCTCCCCACCTCAGCCTCCCAAAGTGCTGGGATTACAGGCGTGAGCCACCGTGCCTGGCTAAGGTCTCCTTTCTTTTAATCAGACTTTCACCTTTGGCCATTCTGCATAGTCATTCACTCAACAGTATTTACTGACGGACTGCATATAGAGTGCTTGATTAATGTTGCTGCTTTGTCATTATTATCATTATTATTAAGACAGAGTCTCACTCTGTTGCTCAGGCTGGAGTACAGTGGTGTGATCTCTGCTCACTGCAACCTCCACCTCCCAGGTTCAAGCCATTCTCCTGCCTCAGTCTCCCAAGTAGCTGGGACTACAGGCATGCACCACCACACCTGGCTAATTTTTGTATTCTTAGTAGAGATGGGGTTTCACCATATTGGCCAGGCTGGTCTCGAACTCCTGACCTCAGGTGATCTGCCTACCTCGGCCTCTCAAAGTGCTGAGATTACAGGTGTGAGCCACTGTGCCCAACTTAATGTTTCTGCTTTGAAATAAACATTTAAGAAGTCTTTAATCGGTTGAAAACAGCAAGATTTTAAAAGTATTTTAAAAAGTGAAACAAAAGAATGCTTACTTCATTTCACGGAGAGAGGTTTCTCTTTTATGTTATTTTTAAAAGGAGATGGAATTTTGTTTCATTCATTTCTGTTTATTTGGACAGGCCAAATATGAACAACTGAACACGCCAGCGTTACCATACACATGTTACACAGATGCCATCCTTCTTCCATCGGCTCTCATATGCAATACAAAAGTAAAAAGAGGTTCTCTTTTAACAGGTAAAAATTGAAGTTCGGTCACTTAACACAGAGTAAACAGTAATTACAGTTATGCTGGTAACAAAAGACAGCATGTTCTCTTTGAAAGCACCGTATTTGGTTTGTTTCCGCGCTTGGTTCCAGTATCTGGCACATTTTCCCCGGGAGTTTTCTTTTCAGTGGGATGATTATCTTCAGGGCAAAAAAGTTTATCAGACTCAAGTTTTAGCAGTACTTAGTTTATTCATTTATATACACGTAACTGTAACCCCATCCTGTCTTCCTCCAGTCTTCTTACTGCATTCCTACTGACACGTATATTATAACACCCTCCACAAGTTCTATTTACAGTTAAGAATTTCTTTTTTTTTTTTTTTTGAGACGGAGTTTCACTCTTGTCACCCAGGCTGGAGTGCAATGGTGCAGTCTCGGCTCACTGCAACCTCGACTCCCAGGTTCAAGTGATTCTCCTGCCTCAGCCTCTCGAGTAGCTGGAATTACAAGTGCCTGCCACCACGCCCAGCTAATTTTTGTATTTTTAGTAGAAACAGTGTTTCGCCATGTTGGCCAGGTTGGTCTCAAACTCCTGATCTCAGGTGATCCACCTGCCTTGGCCTCTCAAAGTGCTGGGATTACAGGCGTGAGCCACCGCACCCAGCCTGCAGTTAAGAATTTCTAAATGGGCCGGGCGCGGTGGCTCAAGCCTGTAATCCCAGCACTTTGGGAGGCCGAGACAGGCGGATCATGAGGTCAGGAGATCGAGACCAGCCTGGCTAACACGGTGAAACCCCGTCTCTACTAAAAAATACAAAAAACTAGCCGGGCGAGGTGGCAGGCACCTGTAGTCCCAGCTACTCGGGAGGCTGAGGCAGGAGAATGGCGTGAACCCGGGAGGTGGAGCTTGTAGTGAGCTGAGATCCGGCCACTGCACTCCAGCCTGGGCAACAAAGTGAGACTCCGTCTCAAAAAAAAAAAAAAAAGAATTTCTAAATGGCACAAATTAACTCAGCTGTTCTCAGTGCAGACGTCAAATCCTCACTGTGCTGAAACACTTTTCTCAGCTTTTGGGAAATAATTACAATTTAAACATCCACAGAGAATGTTTCTTAGACAAACATAAGACAAACATACTCGAGGCTTATCTGGTAAAAAATAACTGCTCTGTCCTTCTTAGCACAAAAAAGACATATCTTTGTAAAATGAGAAGAACCAAAGAATATTTAAAACAAAACAGGAAGCCACATGTACTAATTACACAAGAGACTGACTGACAAATTGGAATTCTCCAAAACAGATTTTCAGTGAGGCTTCTCATTTCAGAGTCCAGGGAAAAAAAAATCCCAAAAACCCCAAAGGTTGTGTGTATACATATTTTTATTGTGTTAAAAAACACAAAACATAAAATTTACTGTCTTACCAAAAGGTATATTTTGTGGCTCTTTCCCCACTTTTTTTGTCCAAGACAGAGTCCAGTCTGTCGCCCAGGCTGAAGTGCAGTGGCATGATCTCGGCTCACTGCAACCTGCACCTTCTGGGCTCAAGCAATCCTCCCACCTCAGCCTCCTAAGTAGATGGAACTACAGGCATGTGCCACTAGGCCCGGCTAATTTTTGTGTTTTTTGCAGACGGGGTTTTACTATGTTGCCCAGGCTGGTCTTTGTTCTCTTAAGAGTTGCTTTCTCCATCAAAATTGATAAATAACATTTAGAAAATGAATTATTTACTACAAGAGTAATGATATGTCTCAATTTATTATATGAAATTATCAACACTGCTTTTAATATTCAGATGTCAAGAAGATGAAAAGCAGAAATACATTTTGCAAACATGTGGCACTCCATAGGTGGAAATCATATATTTCCTCTAATATCCCAATTTTTCTGCCTAGTGTCTATATGGCTTTTGTCCCAACTTGCTGTACAAGAATTTTCCCCAGCCACCTTAGAAAGGCTGGACGTAGTTCACTCCAAATCCACAGTTCACTCCAAGTGTGTCAGTACCACAGAAAGCTCCATGGAAGCCTCAAATGTACGGGCTAGGCAACAGAAGCAGGGAGGCAGGATTAAGAAATTACTGGCCAGGTGTGGTGGCTCAGGCCTGTAATCCCAGCACTTCAAGAGGCCAAGGCAGATAGATGGCTTGAGCTCAAGAGTTTGAGATCAGCCTGGGCAACATGGCAAAACCTTGTCTCTACAAAAAATATAAAAATCAGCCAGGTGTGTTGGTGTGCGCCTGTAGTCCCAGCTACTGGGGAGGCTGAGGCAGGAGGATTGCCTGAGCCCAGGAGGTTGAGGCTGCAGAGAGCCATGATTGTGCCACTGCATTCTAGCTTGGTTAACAGTAAGACAAAAAAAGAAAAAAAAAATTACCAATATAAAATGCTTACACAGCTAACAAACATGTTCAATTCCATTTATAGTCTTTTCTTTGAGCCATTTACACATAGGGCTTTTTTTTTTTTTTTTGAGATGGAGTTTCACTCTTGTTGCCCAGATTGGAATGCAATGGCATGATCTCGACTCACTGCAACCTCTGCCTCCTGGGTTCAAGCGATTCTCCTGCCTCTGCCTCCCGAATAGCTGGGATTACAGGTATGCGCCACCATGCAGGGCTAATTTTGTATTTTTAGTAGAGACGGAGTTTCTCCATGTTGGTCAGGCTGGTCTTGAACTCCCAACCTCAGGTGATGCACTCGCCTCGGCCTCCCAAAGTGCTGGGATTACAGGGATGAGCCACTGCAATGGGCCGCTATTGTTTTTTAACTCCATATAGTTTCTATAGTTCACCAAAAACTCAAAGAGATGACCTATAAATGTATGAATAATGTATGATTTCTTACACCGATTTTCTACTAGAAAAAAATCATACTTTTAGAATTGGATTTTGTCTTACAGTCATCTTTATTATACTTTATAAATGAGATTTCGTTTACATAAATCATCAGGAAGCTAAACTAAAATAGAAATGCTAGATTTAAATTCTAATTTGAATACTCTGATCAAAATAACAAATCTCACATTGGGAAACCATCTATCAGCAAGCAAAGAGCTACTACTGTGTGTCCTTCCTTAGAAGAATGAACACTGAGAACCCATAGCACATTTGCAGTACAGTAACAGCAATTCCTTTGTCATTATCACAGAACTTTAATTTTTATGTACTTTGCTGGGAATAACCAAACCATCCCATATATATATGTCCCACATATATATGAGATGGTGTATATATATATATAGAGAGAGAGAGACAGTCTTGCTCTGTTGCCCAGGCTGGAGTGCCGTGGTGCTATCTCGGCCCATTGCAAGCTCCGCCTCCCAGGCTCAAGCAATTCTCATGTCTCAGCCTCCCAAGTAGCTGGGATTACAGGTGTGCACCAGCACACCTGGCCAACCATCCCATACATTTCATACAATCATTTTTAAAAAGAAGCATGAACCATTTTGGTTTTAGATAATTAAGTTTTTTTTAGAGAGACACTTTAAAAAAAGTCATTATATGAATAAAATTTCCTTTGTGTTAATTCCGACAAATCATTCAATCATTGAATCAGTCACAAATTTTTTTGAAACGGAGTTTTGCTCTTGTTGCCCAGGCTGGAGTGCAATGGTACGATCTTGGCTCACCGCAACCTCCGCCTTCTGGGTTCAAGCGATTCTCCTGCATCAGCCTCCTGAGTAGCTGGGATTACAGGCACCCGCCACCACGCCTGGCTAATTTTGTATTATTAGTTGAGACGGAGTTTCTCCATGTTGGTCAGGCTGGTCTCGAACTCCTTTTCTCAGGTAATCCACTGGCCTTGGCCTCCCAAAGTGCTGGGATTACAGGCATGAGCCACCGCACCCGGCCCCAATTTTTTTTTTTTTTTTTTTAGTAACTTGCACACTTAACCATATTTTTTATCTTCTTGGGACAACATTCTTTTCTCCACAAAAACCCAATTAAGGACGTTGTGCCAGTTTACTCTTACTTCCTTCCTGTTCACTGAGCTTAAAGTGGGTATAGGCGAGAATGCCAAATAATGTACATAAAATGCCAAGAGCCTGATTAATGGACAGTGGATCCTTAAATAAAACGTATCCTCCAAATAAAGTAATGCAGAACTTGAAGTGTCCAAACATGTTATAGCTGAGGTTTTTGGATAAGGATAAAAAGGAAGAATAAGATAGATGGTATATTTACACACACACTCACGCTACATAAAACAACTCAAAAGCAGCCCACCCCATGTAAAGAACAATGGGACCAGGCGTGGTGGATCATGCCTGTAATCCCTGCACTTTGGGAAGCTGAGGTGGTGGATCTCTTGATCCTGGGAATTTGAGACCAGCCTGGCCATCATGGTGAAACTCTTGTCTCTACAAAAAATACAAAAATTAGCTGGGTGTGGTGGCGCATGCCTTTAATCCCAGCTATTCAGGAGCCTGAGGCAGGAGAATTGCTTGAACCCAGGTGGCGGAGGTTGCGGTGAGCCGAGATCGTACCACTGCACTCCAGCCTGGGCAACAAGAGAGAAACCCAGGAGTGAGCCAAGAATGCACAACTGCACTCTAGTCTGGGCAACAGAACAAGACTGTCTAAAAAAAGAGAATAATGGGAACTTCTTAGTTTCTTCAGGTAGGTTTTAGCGATTGATTAATCAGAGACACAAGACTGCCTCAACCATTCCTACTGACCTCCAAAAAAGAAAAGGGATACAATATAAAAGGAAAGACATTCAGAACAAGGTCCAGGGAAGCTATTTTGTATAGCAATTTATAATTATGTTTTACAGTGGTGTTTCCTTGGGAAATGAAGTGAGAATAAGGTACCAGAGAGCTAACTTGAGTTTAGGAGGGAAAAGCGGGAGGGGGAGAGGGAGCAATACTGAGCACCAACTACACACCAAACACCATACTGGGCGATTTACATGAAATCTTCGAAGTTAGGCATCACGTTTACCTTCACTGCAGGCTCACTCTTCCTATTTACAGTTGTAGAGGCTCAGAGATTTTAAGTAACATGCCCCAGATTACAGAGCTAGTAAGTAGCAGAGTTGGAGTCCGCACATAAACAGGTCTATTTAACTCCAAAGCCCATGTTCTAATCCAAAATACTGCCAGTAACATGCCGCTGGATTAAGGTTTTTCCAAATCACTGTATATTTAAAAAGCAAACTAAATACACACACACCCCCTTTAAAAATTACCTGTGGCCATGCACGGTGGCTCACGCCTCTAATCCTAATCCCAGCACTTTGGGAGGCCAAGGTGGGTGGATCACCTGAGGTCAGGAGTTTGTGAGATCAGCCTGACCAACATGGAGAAACCCCATCTCTATTAATAATACAAAATTAGCCGGGCATGGTGGTGCATGCCTGTAATCCCAGCTACTTGGGAGACAGGCAGGAGAATTGCTTGAACCCAAGAGGTGGAGGTTGCAGTGAGCCGAGATCACGCCACTGCACTCCAGCCTGGGCAAGAGTGAAACTCCGTCACACACACACACACACACACACGCACTTACTTATATTTAAATATAATTATTTTTTCTATATAAATGAGTACTTTCTTGTTCTTGAGATGTATGAGGTGTGCCTATGTGCTTTTCCTAATTACAACACTAGAAATAGCTACCACTCTGTGCCTCAGTTTCCTCACTATATAAAAGGGGAACAAAATAATACCTCCCAGGGTTACTGTAAGGATCAAATAATATACACGAAGCTTCTAGCATATAGTAAGCACCACATGTGCTAGCTATAATAATAGTTACCAAAAGCAGTACCTATGTGTCATAAACACCTGCTTGGAGCTTGACACATTCTCTCACATACAACCACCCAACATCATAGATCGCACTTCCTCCACTTCATACATTTCATAAGTGATCAGAGTGAGACCCTGAGAGTTCCCACACTAGTCAGGCCCACAGGTAGTGGCAGAGCTTGGTGTTCACACCTGGACCTGTCTGACCCCCAAGCCCACCTAAGCAGCCTGGAGGTTCCTGCTGGGCAGCAGCAGTGCCTCGGGAGAGCATGGGCCGTGTCCCCAGGTGCATGTGGTGGCTTGATCCCATGGAGGTGACTTCCTGAGACACAGAGGATCTTCCCAAGGTTACTGGCAATAATCATAATAAAATATGTTTTATTTTCAATTATGAGCTATCTTCATGTGCACTGGCTCTAACACTTTAAATTTCTTTACTCCTAGGCTTCTCTTTTAAGCATATTTATACTAGAAGGAAGTCAAATTTAAAGAAACTATTCATGAATCCTTTTGTAAAAACAACAAAAAAAAGAGCAGTCTACATGTGGTATTTCCAGTTCTACACTTTACTCCAGGCAGGCTGTCACCCCAACCTTCAGAATGTTCTGGTCAAACCCAGTGCCCTCCACCTCACTCAGCCCCTCATTGGTGACCAGTCTCCTTGAACTTGGCCTGCCAGCGGCATCTGACGCAGACACCGACCGCTCCTCCTCCTCCTCACTCTGGTTCTGTGCCACCCTCCTCCTTCCTTCCACCTCTAACTGCTCCTTCTCATCCTCCAGCTAGTTCCTCTCATCTCTCTGAATTCCAAATACTGGACTCAAACCCAACGCTCAGTCTTTGGACTTATTTTCTTCTACTTGTTTGCTTGGTAATCTCAACCAGTCTCACCACTTTAAACCACAGCTTCATACTTCTGACTCCTTGTGATGCCTCCTGCTGAGACGTCACCTTTGAACTCTGACTTGTTTATCCAAAACTGAGCACCTAGCTGGGCTCACACCTGTAATCCTAGCACTTTGGAAGGCCGAGGTGGGAAGAATGCTTGAACCCAACAGTTCGAGTTTGCAGTGAACCATGATCGTGCCACTTCACTCCAGCTTGGGTGAAGAGCAAGACCCTGTCTCAAAAACAAGAACAAAAAAATACTCCCCAAACTGAGCACCTGATCTTCCTCCCCAGCCCCAAACCTCCTTCTGGCTATCCTACCTCAGTTGATGGCAACTCTACTCTACCAGGTGCTCAGGTCAAAAACCATGTAAATCAGCCTTGTTTTCTCTTTCTCCACATCCAACTAGGCAGCAAAACCTGTTGGCTCTTCTTAGAAATATATCCAGAATCCAATCACTTCTCACTATATCCACTGCTACCATACTGGTAGCCACTATGACTTGTACATTGGAATATTGCAGCAGTCTCCTGACAGTTTCCTGTGCCTCTTACAGTCCAGTAGTTCTCAACCACGGGTGATTCTGCTTTGTGGGCAATCATTGGAGGCATTTTTGGTTGTCACAATTGGGCAAAGGGTATGTATGCTACTGGCATCTGGTGGTAGAGCCCAGGCCTGCTGAAAACATCCTACAGTGTACTAAACAGGCCTGCACTAAGAACCGTCCAGCCCAGAAAGTCAACAGCCCAGAGGTTGAGAAATTCTTCTTTATTCTATTCTCAACACAGGAGCCCTGAGTGATTCTGTGATTTATTTTAAAAAACTTTTTGTAGCGTCAGGGTCTTACTATGTTGCCCAGACTGGTCTCGAACTCCTGGGCTCAAGGGATCCTCCTGTCTTGGCCTTCCAAAGTGTTGGAATGACAGGTGTGAGCCACTGCGCCCGGCCCACTGAGTGCTTCTATTAGAATGTATGTAAAATCATGTCGCTTCTCTGCTCAAAATGCTAATGGCTTCCCATCTTACTCAGTGGAACAGTCCTTACATAAACGCCCTACTCAATTCAGTTCTTTGTTACTTCTCAGCCTACCACATTCCCTCCTTTGCTCAACCTGCTCCAACCACACAGGCTTCCTTGGTTTTTTTAGGGCCTCGCACCTGCTGTTGCCTCGGCCTGGAATATTCTTCCCTCCTGATCTGCATGGAGCAACCGCATTTCCTTCAGGTCTTTACTCAAATGTCATCTTCCCACTAAGGCCTTCCTGACTAGCCCTGCCTAGAACTTCAGTGCTGTCTATGACATTTCACATTCTCTTCCCTGCCTTATTTTTACTCCTTGGCAGTTAACACTATCCCACACTGTAGTATATAAATATTTAATTGTTTTCTATTTCTAATCTTCCTCACCAGAATTCAAGCCTGTGAGAGCAAAGACTTCTGTCTATATGGTTCATTACTGTATCCCCGGTGCCTGGCACATAGTAGATGTTCAGTATATAAATATTTTTATATCAATGGTTTAGTGGGTATTCAATACTTACTGAATAAATTAATGTTTTAAATCAGAGCACACATTTGGATGTCTTGATTGGGTAGCATGATGTACAAATTTTGGGACTAGACTGCATGGGTTCAAATCTGAACATCCCATTTGTCAGCTGTGTGGCCTTAAGTGAGCTAGCTAACCTCTCTGTGCCTCTATTTCTTCTATAAACTAAAATGACAGACTCCACCTCACAGAGCTGCTGTGAGAATTAAATGGACTAATACATACAAAATATTTCTGACAGTATCTGACACAAAATAAATATTTGTTAAGTATTGGTTTTCTAAAAAACTTATCGTCATTGTTTTTTATTGATAGTTGGCAAATATCCTACTTATTTACTTCCTGGGGAAATTCATTCTCTGCATTTGCCTAAGGGTGGGGGCAGAGTGAAATGTGAAGAGAAACAGAATGACAAGCAGAATGGTATAAATGGACAGTTGAATTTGACCTTTAACATATAACTTCATTTCTTTTTTTTTTTTTTTTTTTGGTAGAGATAGGGTCTCCCTATGTTTCCCAGGCTGGTCTTGCACTCCTGAGCTCAAGTGATCCTCCTGCCTCGGCCTCCCAGTGTTGGAATTATAGGTGTGAGCCATAGTGCCCGGCCAATGACTTCATTACTTGACTTGAAATAATATTGAGAAAAACAGGCACACCCATATCCAAATAAGTACAAACACATACTCCATAGCCAGATGCCAGTGGCCTGAAATTATCTTTTGTTATATGTTAACCATTCCTTTACTTTGTTACTATAAATACCTGAACATGGTTTGAAAATCCAAACCTCCACCTCATTATTCATTCAAAAAATATTTATTTAATCTCACTGTCTGTAAGAAATGGTACTCTGAATTAATTTTTGTAAGGGAAAAGGTCATCTATTACATAAGAAAATTCAAAAACATTCATGACACAAAAAGCTAACCCATTTCCTCAGTTCATATTTCTTTCTTTTTTTTTTTTTTTGAGACATAGTCTTGCTCTGTTGCCCAGGCTGGAGTACAGTGGCACAATCTTGGCTCTCTTTAACCTGCGACTCCCCAGTTCAAGCAATTCTTGTGCCTCACCCTCCTGAGTAGCTGGGATTACAGGCGTGCACCACCTTACCCAGCTAATTTATATATATATATATATATATTTTTTTTTTTTTTTGAGACAGAGTCTCGCTCTGTCGCCCGGGCTGGAGTGCAGTGGCCGGATCTCAGCTCACTGCAAGCTCCGCCTCCCGGGTTCACGCCATTCTCCTGCCTCAGCCTCCCGAGTAGCTGGGACTACAGGCGCCCACCACCGCGCCTGGCTAATTTTTTGTATTTTTTTTAGTAGAGACGGGGTTTCACCGTGTTAACCAGGATGGTCTCGATCTCCTGACCTCGTGATCCGCCCGTCTCGGCCTCCCAAAGTGCTGGGATTACAGGCTTGAGCCACCGCGCCCGGCCTGCTAATTTATATATTTTTTGTAGAGACAGGGTTTCACCATGTTATCCAGGCTGGTCTTGAACTCCTGGCCTTAAGTGATCCACCTGCCTTAGCCTCCTGAAGTGTTGGGATTACAGGTGTGAGCCACCACACTCACCCTTTCAGTCATATTTCTTTAAAATCCTATTGTGTGTAAAGATACAGTAAAAGGCTAAAAATAACTCTCTCTACTCAATGTAGGCCGTGCAATAGTGTGAGATTCAAATAAGGTAATGAATGTGAAAGTTTTGGAGAATATAAAAGACGATGCATTTGTAAGTTATATGAAAAGGATACGTGACAGGTGAAGTGTTCCCAATGATCCAATAAATTGATAAGTTCACCATGAAAGCTATTACTCCAGATAGCAGCACCATAAGCTACAAATAAAACAAAAGAACCATTAATGCAAAGCAATCCAATCATTATAGTCATCAAGCAAAGATACATTTCATTCGGCATTTTAAAAAATTCAAATATCAACCATTAATAAATAAGATTAGAAAGAGAATTTGGGAGACAGTAAGAATTGCAAGTAAAAAGGCAGAATGAACAGTGTTTAGAAAAAAATGTAATTTTTTCCACAAGAATCAATGAAAAATACTGCAATAACATCCTTTCTGTGATTGTGAATTTCCAGGTTAATTTTTCTTATTAATCTAAAGAAAAGTATACATATGCATTATTATTATTATAAATCAGACAATAAAGAAAAGCAGAAAGAATATAAGGAATTCTTATAATCCCAACCATCCACACATTAACATCTTAATTGCTCTTTTTTTTTTTTTTTTAAATGGAGTCTCACTCTGTCACCCAGTCTGGAGTGCAGTGGTGCAATCTCGACTCACTGCAACCTCCGCCTCCCAGGTTCAAGTAATTCTTCTGCCTCAGCCTCCCCAGTAGCTGGGATTACAGGCCCATGCCACCACACCCAGCTACTTTTTTTTGTATTTTTTGATAGAGATGGGGTTTTACCATGTTGGCTAGGCTGGTCTCGAACTCCTGACCTCAGGTGATCTGCATGCCTTGGCCTCCCAAAAGTGCTGGGATTACAGGCCTGAGCCATTGCACCTGGCCTCATTTTTATTTTTATGTAACTCAATAAGCATTCATTGGATATCTACAAAGATAGGCCAGGCCTTGTGAGGAATGCAATATGTACAAAGTTCCTGCCCTCAAAGAGCTTACAAACTACTTGAGGACATAATAAAAATCACGATGATCACAGCTTACACTTACATAACACTTATTATGCACCAATAATTGTTCTGTTTTACATATATTCACTCATTTAATTTTCACGTACATCCACAAAGTAGATGTAAAAATATTATTCCTTTTTATAGATAACTTGGCTGGAAACAGGGGGACAAATGGGTTGGAACACTATATACACATACAATGTTCTGTTCAAATCTATCCCATAATTTTATCCAACAAATTATAGAATCATTTTGTTTCTCAATTTAGATAAAATAATATCCATGATCTAAACTATTAAGAAGTTTAAGTTCCGAAGAAAACATGTCATATTTGAAGATGCTTTTTGTCTTATGTAGGGTTTTGTTATTTTGTTTTGTTTTTTGTAAAGACAGGTTTTTACCATGTTGCCCAGGCTGGTCTCAAACACCTGGGCTCAAGCGATCCTCCCATCTTGGCCTCCCAAAGTGTTGGGATTATAGGCATGAGCCACTGTGCCCAGCCCCATCTAGGTTTTATCAGTGTTAAAATCAGTGCAGTCTTAAGAAGACCAGAGGAATTGGATTTGTGTCCTACTTAGGTAAATATAGTAATACCTCATTTAATTTACAATAGTGAGGTCTATTAAATAGCCAACATAGAGAAATTTGCTTAGAGATTTTAAAAAGAGTTTCTAGAAATATATCTAAAATATATCATTGCTAATTTTATTGAGTTCACAGAATGCTGCATACCTATTTCTTGATACTTGGCACATCACATCACTAAAAACACAATTACTCTACTTTGTTAGGGACTTTGAAGAATATAAAGTAGTTCCATGTTGAAGAGGAGTGGTAAGAGTGGGCATCCTTGTCTTGTTCCATTTCTCAAATGGAATGCTTTCAACTTTTCCCCATTCAGTATTATATTGACTGTGGGTTTGTCATAGATGGCTCTTATTACATTAAGGTATGTTCTTTGTATGCCGATTTTGCTGAGGGTTTTAATCATAAAGCGATGCTGGATTTTGTCAAATGCTCTTTCTGCATCTATTGAGATGATCATGTGATTATTTATTTATGTATTATTTATTTATGTATTTATTTATTTTGGAGTCTTGATCTGTCGCCCAGGCTGGAGTGCAGTGGCACGATCTCAGCTCACTGTAAGCTCCGCCTCGCGTGTTCACGCCATTCTCCTGCCTCAGCCTCCCGAGTAGCTGGGACTACAGGTGCCTGCCACCACACCTGGCTAATTTTGTTTTTGTATTTTTAGTAGAGAAGGGGTTTCACCGTGTTAGCCAGGATGGTCTCGGCTAGTCTCGATCTCCTGACCTCGTGATCTGCCCGCCTCAGCCTCCCAAAGTGCTGGGATTACAGGCGTGAGCCACCACACCTGGCTGATCATGTGATTTTTGTTTTTAATTCTGTTTATGTAGTGTATCACATTTATTGACTTTAGTATGTTAAACCATCCTTGCATCCCTGGTATGAAACCCGCTTGATCATGGTGGATTATCTTTTTGATATGTGACTGGATTCAGTTAGCTAGCATTTTGTTAAATTTTAGCATCTATGTTCATCAAGGATATTGGTCTTCAGTTTTCTTTTTTGGTTGTGTCCTTTCCTGGTTTTGGTATTAGAGTAATGCTGGCTTTATATGCAAAAAAAAAAGTTAGTTGACACAATGCTCTACTTTGAGTCAAGGACGCCTCCTAGGGACATTAAGGAATGAAGATGACTTTCCCTTACACTAAATGGCCTCAGCCTTCTGTGGTCTTGGTTTCTTTGACTTTTTTTTTTTTAAATGGCTTTTCTGCTGCTGTCCTCATTTTACAACCTGTTAGAAGGCGACCAAAAAAATCCTCTCTCCTTGTAGCATAAGGTCTCCAGGATGCAATGGTTTGAAACCAGATAACCAGGATGGCTATTTTGTAAAGTAAGTGGAAGTATTATCTGACAGATGGTCCAATGACTTCTACTTTAGAAAAAAACTGTATATGCTAAAATATATAAATTTGAAACCACTACTGGTCTACTTAACAGGAAGCAGAGCAGAGCACTGGAGAATATAGACTTTGGACCCAGAAGGCATGGATCCAAATTGTGGCTCTGCTTATTAGCTGTGGGATTGCGAGCCAGTTACTAACTCTCTATCTCTCGGTTTCCTTATCAGTAAAAATAATAACAATAGTGATATAGTTTGGATGTCTGTTCCCTCCAAATCTCATGTTGAAATTTGATCACCAATGTTGGAGGTGAGGCCTAGTAGAAGGTGTTTGGGTTATGGGGGTGGATCCCTCATGAATGGCTTGGTGCCCTCCCCAGGGGTAATGAGTTCTTGCTCTATTAGTTCTCATGAAGGCTAGTTGTTTAAAAGACACTGGCATCTCCTCCCCTCTCCCTCTTGCTCCCTCTCTCGCCATGTGACATGCCTGCTTCCCCTTCGCCTTCCACCGTGATTGTAAGCTTCCTGAGGCCCTCACTAGAAGCAGATGCCAGCACTAATGCTTCTTGTACTGTCTGCAGAATGATAAGCCAAAATAAACCTCTTTTCTTTATAAATTACTCAGTCTCAGGTATTATTTTATAACATCATAAAATGGACTAATACAAATAGTATTAGTATAGCATCAACCTAATAAAGTTATGAAAATTAAATAAGTTAATATTTACACATTGCTTTGAATAGTGCCGGGAAGAGAAGAGGGGCTATATAGGTGCTTAATAAATTGATGCGACCAACAAAAAAGACATTCCCACTAACTGTGTTCCAAGAGTTGTGGGAACTCTTGTCGGAAGCAGGAATTCCTGATAAGTAAGGTGTTATGGACTGAATGTTTGTGTCCCCCCCAAAATTCCTATGTTGAAATCCTCACCCGCAGTGTGATGGTATTGGGAGGTGGGGCCTTTGGGAAGTGACTATGGCATAAGGGTAGAGCCTTCATGAATGGGATTAGTCCCTATGATAAGAAGAGATACGAGAGAGCTTGCTTCTCCTCTTCCTTGTTGTCAGATGAGCATACGGCAAGAAGAATGCCATCTATAAAGCAGGAAAACGGCCTTTACCAAGAACCCAACCATACCGGCAGCCTGATCTCAGACTTCCAGACTTCAGAACTGTGAGAACCGAGTATCTGTTGTTTAAGCCACCCAGTCCATTGTAGTTTTGTTATAGCAGCCTGAACTGAGACATAGGAGGATTATACATTCTAACTTAAAATGTCCCCAAAGTATTAGTCCCAGCTGCGCGGGAGGCTGAGGTTGGGGGATCACTTGAGCTCAGGAGCTTGAGGCCAGGCTGGGCAATATAGCCAGACCCTGTCTCTAAAAAATAAAAGTCCCCAAAATACGTATGTCCTTGATTTGCCAATTCCACTCCTGGGACTCATTTCCATAGGAAAAAAGGTATCAGTACATGAGGACACATGATGTACAAGGATGTTTATCACAGTATTGTTCATAGTGGTAAAGAACTGGAAAAAAGTGAATATGCAAAGGGGCTATTATACTGACACTGGCTGGGCGCGGTGGCTCACGTCTGTAATCCCAGCACTTTGGGAGGCCCAGGTGGGTGGATCACTTGAGGTCAGGAGGTTAAGACCAGCCTGGCCAACATGGTGAAACCCCATCTCTACCAAAAATACAAAAAAATTAGCCAGGTGTGGTGGCTCACACCTGTAATTCCAGCTACTTGGGAGGCTGAGGCACAAGAATCACTTGAACCCGGGAGGTGGAGGTTGCAGTGAACAGAGAGCATGCCACTGCACTACAGAGTGAGACTCTGTCTCAAAACAAAACAACAACAAAACATACAGACACTGAAAAGAATGCTTTAGAGAGATTTTTAGGAGATATTATTAAGTCAGAAAAGCAAGATACAGAAAAGCATATGTGATAGGATTCTACTTTTGTCAAAGAAACAGATGTGGCTGGGTGTGGTGGCTCATGCCTGTAATCCTAGCACTTTGGGAGGCTGAGGCGGGAGGACCTGAGATAAAGAGATCGAAACCATCCTGGCCAACATGGTGAAACCCCGTCTCTATTAAAAATACAAAAATTAGCTGGGCATGGTGGTGTGCGCCTGCAGTCCCAGCTACTCGGGGGTCTGAGGCAGGAGAATTGCTTGAACCCGGGAGGTGGAGGTTGCAGTGAGCCAAGAATTGCACCACTGCACTCCAGTCTGGGTGACAGAGTGAGACGCCATCTCAAAAGAAAGAAAAAAAAAAAGAAATAGATGTTTAATTGGGGTGTGTGTGTGTGTGTGTGTGTCTGTGTGTGTGTGTTTATATGGATATATATGGCATGGAGAAAAATATGGAAGAACAAGCACTTAGAATATTAACATGACTTCAAGGGACATGGATTAGGGAGTAATGGAATGTGGAAGAGTGTATGGCTAGGAAGGCTGGGGAAGAGGAATCCACAATAAAAACAGCATCTATGATATCATTCCATATCTAAAATTATACACACATGCATGTGTACCTATGTGTTTATACAAAAGAGATCCATGAAATGATGCTCACCAAAATGGTAACGGTAATTACTTTAGTGTGATAGCGTTCCAGGGGCCCTTCACTTTCTTTTGTTGTTGTTTTGGTTTGGTTTTCTTTTGAGACAGGGTCTCCCTCTGTTGCCCAGGCTGAAATGCAGTGGTGCTATCTTGGCTCACTGCAGCCTCGACCTCCTGGGCTCAAGTGATCCTCCTACCCCAGCCTCCCAAGTAGCTGGGACCATAGGCATGTGCTACCATGCCTGGCTAATTTTTTGATTTCTTTTTTGAGACAGAATCTTGCTCTGTGGCCCAGGCTGGAGTGCAGTGGCACGGTCTTGGCTCATTGCAACCTCCACCTCCCAGGTTCAAGCAATTCTCGTGCCTCAGCCTCTTGAGTAGCCTGCCTTGGTCTCCCAAAGTGCCGGGATTATAGGCATGAGCCACCGCACCCAGCCTCAGCTAATCTTTTTGTATTTTTAGTAGAGACCAGATTTCGCCATGTTGGCCAGGCTGGTCTTGAACTCCTGAGCTCAAGTGATCCATCCGCCTCAGCTTTCCAAAGTCCCGGGATTACAGGCATGAGCCATCACACCCAGTCAATTTTTAAATTTTTTTGTAGAGATGAGGTCTTCCTATGTTGCCCAGGTTGGTTTAAAACTCCTGAGCGTAAACGATCTGCCCACTTTATCCTCCCAAACTGCTGGGATTACAGGAGTGAGCCACTGTGCCTGGCCCCTTCACTTTCTTTATATTTTTACATGTGTTCAAAATCGACATAGTGATTATAAAGCTATGTTTTCACTGTAAAAAAAGTTTAACTTAACCTAAATGTCCAAATTATTTGTGGGCTCTAGCTTGACATGGTCAGTACAGTAACCAGGCATCAGAAGACATTAATTGTAGTTCTGCTTTTGCCACTAAGTAGCTGCCTCACTCTAGGCAAGTACCTTCACCTTTGTGTGCCTCAATTTCTTCATCTGAAAAAGAATCCTTACCTTACCTCCTTATATGGTGATTACGAAGATAAATGTGAGAATGGATCGGACATAGTGCTCTGAAAACTAAAAATTATATTAATAATGGAGGAGTTATTATTATACTGTTTCTTAGATATCAAAACAATTAGAACTTACCAAAGCAGAAACTGACCAGGGACCAAATATTCCTCCTTCTCCAAACACCGGCTCAAAGAAGGGCACAGCGACCAGCAACATGGCAGATGACATCGGAGCCTGGTAGTACAGCAGCTGCATTGAGTTCACTTGTAATTCATGCTGTTTGGCTCCTACCCACTGAAAATTAGGAGATAAAACATGTCTGGCACAAAAGAAATAGTATCACTTAATCAAAGATGCAACAACTAGAGTCACAAAGATGGGAATGTGGGGTATAGACTAGGAGAAGATAAAATGTCTATTATTCTACAGGATTTCAAAGACCAGTAAGCTATATGAATGCCCTTTAAGCACCATGGATGAAAATAGCTCTATAAATTTAATTTCTGATAATCTAGCTTCTTCTCAATTCTTAGAAGGGGGAGAAAAGTCCTCTATTTCCTTCTACCTGATCCTAGTAAACAGGGAAAAATAAACGCACATGAGGGCCTACAAGGATAAAAGATCTTGGGAAAATAAGCAAAAAATGGAAATTCAGGTGCTTAGGAATACAGATGCAGTGTTGGACTTCATTTCTTTCTAAAAATGGCAAAAATTTAAAAATGGAAGACAGGGGCCAGGAGCAGTGGCTGACACCTGTAATCCCAGCATTTTGGGAGGCCGAGGCAGGCAGATAACCTGAGGTCAGGAGTTCGAGACCAGCCTGGCCAATATGGTGAAACCCTATCTCTACTAAAAATACAATTAGCCAGGTATGGTGGTGCACGCCTGTGGTCCCAGCTACTCGGGAGGCTGAGCAGAAGAACCAAGGAGGCAGAGGTTGCAGTGAGCTGAGATTGCGCCACCGCACTCCAGCCTGGGTGATAGAGCAAGACTCTGTCTAAAAAAAAACAAAGGAAGACAGAGGTTGGGGGGACAGGATGACAATGGGGCATGGGGCAGGTTAGAGATGGCTGCCAATGTGTGTGGCTTGAAAAGGTATGTGGTCTTGTCAGTTGCTTTGGAGAACCCAATCAATGGTAGAAGACATTGTCCTCTCTCTGGATGACTTTTCTGTGGATACTATTCCTCATCCCCCACCAATACACCTAGATACATTGGATAATCACTAACCCTAAAATACCGTACCATTCAGTAGAAACAACATCTCAAGACCTCAAATCCCATTTGTCCACAAAATGCTTCACAAATATAACTGAAAAAGAGGCTCTGAAGAAGCTCTAACAGGACTGTTTGGATCACATCTGGCAAGAACAGCTAGGCTTTTGAATGACTTCTACATACGTCTTGTTCCTGTAGGTCTGGGTATCTTGTTACATAAACTCTAAGTCTATAGAAATTCATCAAGACAAAAATAGAAGAGCAGGGAATTTGAACCATACTCCTGCCAGCTTTAACTAAGAGTTCTCTGTGAATGTGAAGGACAAAGAACTGATTCTTCTAAGCTGCCTGCTCCTCGGGGCACAGCAACGAGCAAAAATGGATACAGAGGGTGTGTGCTCACCCCACTTTCCTTTCGCAGCCTCTCCAGGCAGCTGTGTGTCTTGGCCACAGGACTGCCTGGAACAGCAGGGGCTCTGAAGCCTCCACTGTTCCTCAATGCAGCACAGCCTGGCTCCTGCCACCACCCCTCCAATGCTCTCCTAAGGGCACCATGACCTCCATGGCCATGTCCAGACTCCCTGTGGCCCTTCCAGCGAGCCCTCTTTGCAGAACCTGCAAATTTTGCTTGGAAGAACTACCCTCCGGTTTACACTCCTCCCTCACTGCCTCCTGCACTTAGTTTTTAAGGCAGATGTCTGCCTTCCTCTTTATTGCCCTGACTGATGTCTTTTACTATTTGCTGAGATCTACTGTTCTTCCCTCATCCCTTAAGCATCCTTAACCTTGTATTAGCCAGTCTCCTGGCCATCTCTACTTATATAATCTGCAGGAACTTGTTTAAAATCAACTGGTGCCTTTCTTCCACAAATGGGCTCCTCTTGCGTGGTTCCAATAATTGATGATATAATCCCCCTCAGGGATCAGAGCCTTACTTTCTTCACTCTCACATTCAATCAGGTTCTCCCATGTGTTCCCCAAAAGGCCCCTGGAGTGCCTTTTAACCTTTCCCTGTCCATTCCCACTGCCCTAGCCCAGGCCCTTCCTGCTTGTCCCGTGAAGCACAGGTAGGTTCCTGACTGCTCTGCCTTTCACCCTTCCTTCCCTTTTACCCACCCTTCCTTGCCATCAGTTGCTTTTCTAAAGGGGAACGATCAAGTCAGTCCCTGTCTGAACCCCTCTCCTGGTGCGTGCTCAATAAAGACACACTTCCTTAGTATGCCTTCACGACCCTGACATCTGACTGCCTAGCCTCACCAAACAAATCAAGTTCTCCGAAACTGCTCCAGACTTTCACGCACACTGCAAGGAAAAGACCAGCTGTCCTTTATTGCTGAGCTCATTTCTGTGTGCCCTTCCATTTAAATGGTTAACTTTTCTGTAAAGTCTTACCTCACCGCCCCTCTTTTAGAGCTGCCACTTCCTCCTTGGTGTTCCTCAGAACTTTCCTCCTACCTTGGGGTACATATGCTATTGTGACCAGCTGTCTCCATGTGTTTCTACACTGCTGGACTGTAGCTGCTTTTCATCTTTGTATCCTCAACGGTGAACATAATGCGGAAAAGATGTCTGCTGAATGAATGAGTGAGCCAACTATCTTTCTACAACTCAAGCTAATAGCTGGTCACTTGTCTTTTAACTCCTTTTAATGTCTCCAGCAGTATAAGAGAAACAACATAGAAATTATGCCAAGATACATTGGGCAGATACAACTTTAAGAGGAATGTTTTGGGAATATACCTATTTTGTAATAATACCTTTACCATTTACTGATAAGAAACCGTCCATTAATCTACAATCATTCCTTGGTCAATCTCATTTCAAATATCTACCTTAGGGATATAGAACCTTTGATTCTAATCTATAGCAATTTTGAGACTTGTGTGAACAAAAATGGTCATAGTGACAGAGATGGTGAGTACTCTGAATCCATTACATATAAGGAGTACAATTTCTTGCTCTGTTTAATAGCCTATACTAGGCAAAAACAAGTGCATTTAACAAGAAAGATGAATAGGAATGTTCACTAGCCTCTTCTTTTATTTAAACTGCTTCTCTGTCACTAGAAAATGTATTTCACTGCAGAATATTTTCAAACACCATCTCTGACATGATCACTACTAGAATGTTTAAGATGCCAGGGCTCTATTACTGAACTCCTAACATTTCTAACAGAAATGCCTTAGTTTAATAACCAGTGGATGTTTGTGAAAAAAGTAAAATTGGTTACACATTTTGGCTTTGATTTCCCATACAGGCACACACAGAATTTCCAGACCAAGGTTTTCAGTATAGAGAGAATATCGTTTCACTGTCCCCTACAGCAAGTTATTTTTTCTCCACTACATAAGAAACAAAAACCATACTTGTTAGGTTTTATGGTAATGAAGTAACTGAATCCATGAACACATTTTTAATGAATATCTGCTATAGGCAAGGCACTGTGCTTGCACAAATGGTAAAATATTCATTGATATAAATTACTCTATTATATTAATATAATAATAATCTATATTAGACAAATTATTAAAAGCCAATAAACAAGTACAACAGCAGTATAATTTTTGAGGCAAAAAAATCTAAAAATCTGAAATTTTTCTTTACTGTTCAGATTTCTGGAAGTATACTCACTCCTTCACAACAATGTTAAAAGTAAAGAGTACACAAAAAACATAAACAAACTTAGGAAGTATAAAGTCTTACTACATATTTTGTAAAGATTTCCCAGAAAATAACTTCACCCCAAGCTGAGACTGTTAAGCATGGATATTATACACTTACAAACAGGTAGGTATTTGGTCAGCATCACACACCCAAGTTTCTCTGTCTCCTTTCTTCTCTTCACCTTGAGTCAACTTAAGCAATTACGCTTTCTTCCCAACAGTCTATTGTCTCTATACTGTATTTTCTAAACCTTGGAATACAGCTTCAAAATTTATGAAATCTGCTAAAAAGGCACATAAAGAAAAAAAAAATTACCAACCACTTGATAAAGGGATGTAACTAAAACACCAAGAGCAGCAAACACCATTCCAAGGAAATTAAACTTCACATCGTAATAAGAATTTAGGATTACACCTAAAGTTATAGGAATCTGTAACGAAAAAGAGGTAAATGTTGTTCAGATTAAATTCAAGAGACAAAAATTTAGTATTCCTTTCACAATGTCTTACAAGGCTAATGATAAACACATAACTGGGAAACAATGAACCTGTATAAATGTTTTCTTTTTTCACTTGGGAAAACTGGTTGTTAATCCTATTTCCTAAACGTGAAATATGATAAATCTATATTGATATTCACATTTAATTCTATTTTAAATTTGTGGTAAATATATTGCACTTTGCAAGAAAATACCACATGAATACAAAGGTGAGTAAATGGATCCCCGAAATAGTGTCTAAACAGCATTAAGCATAAATATAAAACAATAAAAGCATAAAGACTTTAAATATAAGGCCAGGCACGGTGGCTCACACCTGTAACCCCAGAGCTTTCGGAGGCCAAGGCGTGCAGATCACCTGAGGTCGGAGTTTGAGACTAGCCTGACTAACATGGAGAAAACCCGTCTCTACTATAAAGTTAGCCGGGCGTGGTGGCGCATGCCTGTAATCCCAGCTACTTGGGAGGCAAAGGCAGGAGAATCGCTTGAACGCGGGAGGCGGGGGTTGCGGTGAGCGGAGATCGCGCCATTGCACTCCAGCCAGGGCCACAAGAGTGAAACTCCGTCTCAAAAACAAACAAACAAACAAAAAAACAAAATAAATAAAAAAGAAAGAAAAAGTAAGAAGACCTTAAATATACTAAGTTACTAAGTGCTAAAATTGAGTCCACCTCCTTTTATTTAAAGTTGCAGACAGCTCGGCAGTATGGTGCTGCAGACATTTTGAGACCTACTTTATGCTAAATCTCTTCACATTTTATCATACACGATTTGATTCCCCTAGGGGAGAAAGGCTGTTTTTCAGTTTGAGCTTTTGCAGATACTCTGATAACACTGGACTGTACCACACAATAGTTTTTCTTATCGATCACAGCATTTAACGATTTCCATCAAATGGCAGCTACTAAAACTCACACAAGCCCACTCTTCTGGGTTGACAAGATGGCCTTTTCCCCCTCCCCAAAATAAGCCTGAAACTTCACTGGCTCACAGATGACTCATTTGTGGATTTCAAGATGAAGGGAAAGACCAGTGTGCGTTCGAATTTCCCGGGGCCAGTGCAGGAGGTGGGTCGGGAGAGCCGCGCCTTGGCAAGCTGAAGCTACTCACCAACGTGAGCTGGATTCTGGTGGAGAAGGTTTTCTGGTAGCAGAAGGTCTGGATGGCTATGATCACCGGCGTGGTCATGGCCTTGGCCAGCTGATAGGTGCCTATAGTGTTGTTCTGCAAGGAAAGGTTAGTGAAGACCACAAAGCCACAGAAGCTGAGGGCCAGGAGGAGGAGCTTGGAGGGCGGCAGACTTTTGGGGGCAAAGATGTCCAGCTTCTGGCAGATATACAAGCCCAGCCAGGTGACTACGAAGTGCACCAGGGTCAGGCTCATGTTGGGGAAGCCGTGGTGCACATAAATCCATTTGTTGAGGAACACAATGCAGATGGACACCAGCAGGTTGAACAGGAGCCCGGCGGCGATTCGCCCGTGGCCCCGCATTCGGTCCACCAGCGATGCCATGATCCCCGCGAAGCCGGGGCCGTTTAGCCTCAGAAGGGGCGCCTGGCCTGTCTCCAGTTGCCCTTCTCCTCCACCGCCGCGTCCTCGCAGACGCCAACCTCACCGTCTGACCCAGGAGTGGCATGCACAGATCAACCTGGGCGAGCAGCACTCTTAACAGACGACACACGCCCCGCCGCCGCCCTGTAACAGCGAGGACGCGGCAGCACGTCCCACGCCCCGCCCATCTCCGCCTGCGGCCACGTGACCCGGGGCTCCGGTGCCTCCGCCCCGGAGCCGCGGGCTGAACGGCCGCTACCCTGCGCAGGCGCGCTGAGCCCTGGGCGCGCGACGCTCGCGTCTTTGTCCTGTCCTCTGGGTCCCCAGCCCCCTTGGTCACCTAACGCCTACCTGACTAGACCAATCTAGGACCCCTTTCTTGATGTTTGTTTCCCGTGTGTCACTGACCCGATTTGCTAGACAACTTCTCTCTGGCTGTGCAGACACTGTTAGCCAATTTTACCTATTAAATGCTGAGCAAATTTAGCCCTCGCCAGAGGGGGAAAGAACTTATCGAAAGCATATTTTTATTTTTTGTTTTTCGAGAAAGACATTCCAAATCTACTTTCCAACAGACAGCATCATCGGGTATAACTACAAGGGTTTCTCCTTAGATCATACATTCACAAAGCATTATTAGCTCAACAGTGAGAAAAGGTGTTCTCTAAAGATGTCCCCTTGACAATGTAAACAAGTGCTATTGTGTTCAATTACAACTCGAGAAAAAACGCACAACTTGCCAAAACTGTATACAGCTGTCTCTAGGGGTGTGTGTGTGTGTGTATATATATATATGTATGTATGTTTTGGATCCTAAAGTCAGGTGCAATGACTAAGAGTTACAACTTTGAGTAACAGTCTTGATCGACATTGCAGTAAGGTCCTTCACACAGAAGTCAGGTTCTTCCTTTCTCCTTCTTCCTCAAGTCGACAGAGCAAGATTATATATTGTAGATATTACAGGTACAAAAGGGGATTTTTATTTTTTTTTTTTGAGACGGAGTCTCGCTCTGTCGCCCAGGCTGGAGTGCAGTGGCCGGATCTCAGCTCACTGCAAGCTCCGCCTCCCGGGTTCACGCCATTCTCCTGCCTCAGCCTCCCGAGTAGCTGGGACTACAGGCGCCCGCCACCTCACCCGGCTAGTTTTTTTTGTATTTTAGTAGAGACGGGGTTTCACTGTGTTAGCCAGGATGGTCTCGATCTCCTGACCTCATGATCCGCCCGTCTTGGCCTCCCAAAGTGCTGGGATTACAGGCTTGAGCCACCGCGCCCGGCCTCAAAAGGGGATTTTTAAAAAAGGAATCACAAAAATATCTTGAATGTCCAGCTGTTCCTACCAATACATCAATTCTTAGTTTTAAGATAGAGTCTAGGATTAATTCAGCAGTCACAAAATTAAAAAGAGAAAGAATATGGTAAAATAAAATAAAATAAAATAAATGAGCAAGTGGGGCATGGTGGCATGGGCCTGTAGTCCCAGCTATTTGAGAGACTGAGTGGGGATTGCTCGAGTCCAGGACTTTGAAGCTGAGCAACACAGTGAGACCCCCATCTCTAAATTAAATGAATGAGGTAGGGAAATTAAAACTTTCACACCCAGGACATGCCTGTTGCAACTTTGTAGCCTTCATGCAATACTCAGGGAAAAAGTCTTCATAATTCCTTGGCATAAGTCACACCAAGAAAAGTTTTTAAAAATTAGTATGTGAACCTGCGATAGGAAACATGCCCTTGTTAAGAGTTTCTTCTCTAGAATGAAAACCCAGTTCTTTAAGAGTAGGCACTGAGGAACTAAATTAAGTTGCCTGAAATTTCCCACTCAGGTGCCCACCACTTCTGGTGTTCAGGAAGACAGAGGCATCTGGGAATTGTGAGGAGCACATTGGCACTCTTGGGGCTCCAACTTGAACTGTATTTAAATAAGCAGCAACACACATATTGACTACCTAAGGACTCAAATGAGTCCAATTGGCCAGGTACTGTGGCTCATACCTGTAATCCCAGCACTTTGAGAGATCGAGGTGAGTGGATCACTTGAGGTCAAGAGTTTGAGACCAGCCTGGCCAACATGGCGAAACCCTGTCTCTACGAAAATACAAAAATTAGCCAGGCGTGGTGGCAGGCGCCTGTAATCCCAGCTACTAGGGAGGCTGAGGCAGAGAATCACTTGAACCTGGGAGACGGAGGTTTGCAGTGAGATATCATGCCACTGCACTCTGGCCTGGGAGACACAGCAAGACCCTATCTCAAAAATAAATAAATAAAAATGAAAAACAAGTCCATTTGAGGGCATCCTAATTAAGAGTCTAAGGTTGAAAGAATTTTGTAATTCTACAACCTTAGTGGGTTTCTGTTGTTGTTTTTAAAAGTACATTCAAAAAACAAGGCAAAACAAAAGATGAATACAGAGGCGAGGGGGTATGCAAAACAAGTTCCTAAATAGATGACAGACCTTGTCCATTTACCCACATACAGTTAGGATGGAAGCATATAATATTCCTCCTCCTCATTTAGGCTAAGTAGTTTTCCACTGTTGTTCAACAAATAGGTAATAGTCTTTGGAAATAGTCACCCTAGGTTGTACAAAGTTTCTATATATATAGTTTGTTGCAAGTAAACTACTTTTAAGACTCACTTCTTTCCCCTTCCCCCCCAGTCTAGTCTGTATTTGTTTTGGTATGAATTTTTTGTTTTTATTTTTTGCAAAGCAGCATAGCAATAATCATGATTACAGGACTGCATGAGCTGTAAAAATCATTTGCATATTAGTAAGAATAAAGAAAACAGGATGACAAGATTAATTCTTTGAGAAACAACAACAAAAAAAAGCACATAATATAGAGCTGATCAAATTCTATGATCCCATCTCAGGCTTCCTGAGCCAGCTCTCTTTAGGGGTGGCATCTATAAATACATATTCAAGAAATTCCTTAGATGATTAGCAAGTTTGGGGAATTACTGTTTTCTATTAGATTCACATTCTTTTAGTTGTCTCCTGTTTATAAGCCCTACACTCTAGCCTATTTGGTATATTTGTTGGTTCATAAAAATGCCCAGCATTTATCATTTCTTGCTCATACTGATTTCTTAATCTGTAGAGAGCCTCATCCTTCTTGTGTCTCTCTTTGCCTTTGCAAATTCAGTGCATTACTCAAATCCCAACCCAATATTACTTCCTGAGAGTCTTTTCAGCTGGAGAGAGCTTCTTCCTGCTCAGACTACTTGTAATTCTTTTTTTTTTTTGGAGACAGTGTCTCGTTCTGTCCCTAAGGCTGGAGTACAGTGGCGCGATCTCGGCTCACTGCAACCTCTGTCTCCAGGTTCAAGAGATTCTCATGCCTCAGCCTCCCCTGAATAGCTGGGTTTACAGGTGCCTGCCACCATGCCTGGCTAATTTCTGTAATTTTTAGTAGAGACAGGGTTTCACCATGTTGGCCAGGCTGGTCTCAAACTCCTGACAACAGATGATCCGCCTGCCTTGGCCTCCCGAAGTGCTGGGGTTACAGACGTGAGCCACTGCACCCAGCCACTACTTGTATTTTTTAATGACACCTTTTAAATGTACTTATGGTATTTCCCCTATTAGAAGAGCTGGATTTGTAATCTCCAATGTATTCAGTGCTTACTATGTGCCAGGTACTATGCTAAGTCTTTATATGCTCTTGTTTTGATAGGAAGTTTGCTAAATGAAAGCTAAACTAGAAATGTCTTCAAAATAACTAAAATAATAATAGCATGTTATGTTAGAAAACATTCTTGTTATAGTCTTACTTTTAATATTCAAAAAATACTACATTTTATAAAAAATTACTTACCTGGCTTAAAAATAAATCTACTTTCCATCATCTTTATGATTTTATTTTATTTTTTATTTTTTTGAGACGGAGTCTGGCTCTGTCGCCCAGGCTGGAGTGCAGTGGCCAGATCTCAGCTCACTGTAAGCTCCGCCTCCTGGGTTTACCCCATTCTCCTTCCTCAGCCTCCCGAGTAGCTGGGACTACAGGCGCCCACCACCTCGCCTGGCTAGTTTTTTGTATTTTTTAGTAGAGACGGGGTTTCACCGTGTTAGCCAGGATGGTCTTGATCTCCTGACCTCATGATCGGCCTGTCTCGGCCTCCCAAAGTGCTGGGATTACAGGCTTGAGCCACCACGCCTGGCCCATCTTTATGATTTTAAAATATCAGAATGCTTATGATTACAGAAAAAACTAGAATAGAAAATTTAATTTTCTCATAAAGAGACAATCCTCGAATTTGTAAAAACAAAAATTTTAGTTTTTATATAGTTTTATTAATAAGCATACAGAGAAACGCTGATATATATACATTACATGTTCAAAGTGTCACGATAATATTCTGAAACGTACAAAATTCAAATGTCTAAATTTTACATGGCAATGCAAAAGAAAAAATTAATAACAAGTATATTTTATTAAAAACTTCATTTATCATGAAAATTAGTGAGATTACAAAGATTAAACTATAACTGAATTTCATACCCTAATGGGTCAAGTCCCTGGTCTAGGAGCATTAGAGAGGACTCTCTTAGCTTCTGCAGCAACTTCCTTAGCTCTTCCTTAGAAAATACCTGATTTTTAAAAAGAGAAATAAGAATGAGAACAAAGACAAGTATGAACTTAGTTAGCTAATCAATCTGATTAGCTTCATATAAGAAGAAATTCCTCTTTAAGATTTATGTAGCCAAAGGCTAGTAAATTAGAGTGGTTCAGGAATTTCAAGGCGAATTCTCAGAGTCAGTCTATATATTTCTAACTGCTTACAAATATATACACATTTTGGGAAAAAAGCACAAACATTAAAACAGGACTATTACTTTAAGAAAATCCAAGAACAATTACAAATGTAAACACATCTTCACAAAATATTACTACAGAGCATATCAAATCATTAAAATTTAAAACTACAATGCTCTAGAACTTACCAGGTACAGTTTGTGGCGCTCAGAGGATACCATATCTGCTAACTGTAGGCATTCCTGATACTGACCAGTACTGTGCAATATTGTATGAAGCAGAAAACACAACATTGGCAGACAAAGCTTTCTCAGTAAAACCATTTGATGTGTTCTTTCATGGTCTTCTTCAGCATCCTACAGACAGACATCAATAAATCATTTTAACAA